TCTTGTATTCAACGTGTATTAGTGATTCTAGCCAGGGCAAGGAGGAAAAAATAATAATTTCAAAAATCATCCAGATTAGAACAGAAAAAGTAAAATGATCTCTATTTGTAGATGACATGCTTGTGTACATAAACAATCTTACGGAATCCGCGCGCACACACACAAAACTCTTAGAATTGGTAAGTAAGTTTAGCGAGGTATTTCTTTATACTAACAAATGAGCACCCCAAAAATTAAATTAAGAAAGTAATTCCATTTTATAATAGCATCCAAAAGAATAAAATAGGAATAAATTTACAAACCAAGTGCAAGATTTGTACACTGAAAACTAAAAACATGGTTGAAAGAACTCAAAGACGACTTCAATAAATGGAAAGACATTCTATGTTCATAGACTGGAGGATTTAGTATTGTCAAAGTGGCAATACTCCCCAAATTAACCTAGATTCAACACGATCCCTATCAAAATTCTTGCTGGCTTTTTAACATAAATTGACAAGCTGAGCCTAAAATCCATGTGGAAATGCAAGAGATGCAAAATATCCAAGACGATCTTCCGAAAAGAACAAAGTTGGAAGTCTCACACTTCCTGATTTCAAAACTACTGCAAAGCCACATACTAATCAAGTTAGTGTGGTACTAGCACGAGGACATACAGATTAATGGAACAGAATTCAGATTTCAGAAATAAACCCTCACACTTATGGACAGTTGATTTTTGACAAGGGTGCAAGGACAATTTGATGGGTGAAAGGGTAATCTATTCAAAACCTGGTGGTGGGAAAACTGGATAGCTGCATGCAAAGAATAAAGCAGGGCCCCTCCCTTGATAACTCATACGAAAATTAACTCGGAATATAGTCATAAAAGTAAAAGCTAAAACTGGTTTCTTAGATAAGACACCAATAGCACACATGATGAAAGAAAAAATAAATGGACTTCACCAAAATTTAAAACTTCTGTGCCTCAAAGGCCAGCATCAAGAAAGTAAAAAGACAACCCACAATATGGGAGAAAATATTTGCAAGTCATATATCTATAGAGGTCTTTCTACCTAGAATACGTAAAGAATACTTACAATTCAACAATAAAAAGACAAAAAAAATTAAAAATGGGCAAAGGATCTGAACAGACATTTCTCCAAAGGAGATATTCAAATGGCCACTAAGCACAAGACAACATGTTCGATATCATTAGTCATCAGGAATATGCAAATGAAGATCATAATGAAATACCACTTCGCACACACCAAGATGGCTAAAACAAAAAGTCAAATCATAGCAAGTACCTTGAACGGGTGTGGAGAAATCACACCCCTCATACACTGTTCGTGGGAATGGAAAAATGGTACAAGCCCCTTGTGGAAACAATCTGGTAATTCCCAATCAAGCGTGAGTTATCATGTAACCCAGAATTTCCACTCTCAGGTGTACACCCCGTATAGAGTTAAAAACATATGTCCACACAAACACGTGCACTTGAACGTTCACACAGCAGGTGTGTTCCCATAACAGCCCAAAATTGGAGGTAACTTAAATGCCTATCAACTGGTGACAAGATAAACAAATTGTGGCATATCCAAACAATGGTGTACTACTCAGAAATAAAAAGTAGTGATAGTAGTTACTGATAACACAGGACATGGATTCATCTCGAAAGTATGCTGTGAGAGAAGCCAGACACAAAAAATTAAATGCCATGTAATTCCATTTATATAAAATTCCAGTAAAAGCAAAACTAGTGCAAAAGGAAGCTGAGAGTGGTTGCCAGGGCTGGGCTCGGGGAGGGGACTGGCCACAAAGAGGCAGGAGAGAACTTCTGGAGTGGATGGTCATGTTACACATCTTGACTGCGATGTTGCTCAGATGACTATCAGTTGTCAAAATGGTCAGAATGCGCTCTTCAAATTGGTGGATTCCATGTCCGTAAAATTCTATCTTTGTAAGTCCAATTTAAAAAAATGAATGAAAAGAAGCCCATTCAAAGAGTAATAACAGTGGTTAGCTCTGAGTAGTGAGATCATGGCTGATGCTTCAATTCCTAACTTCTCCGCAAGTTCCCCATTTCTTTTAATGAGCAGATAGTACATTTAAAATGGGAAAACACACGTTCCTAAAATGGAAACCAGCAGCCCTTCTTACCAACTTTCTCCACCAGCATACAGGGGTTTGAAGGCCCGGGGCTCAAACCCAGCTCTGCCCTGGTGGTGGGGTAGGAGCTTAAGCTAGCCGTTCGACTTTCGGGGCCTCAGTTTCCCTCCTTAACTAAAATGCTAGGGTGGGGCGAGCTGCCAGGGTGATTCCCTCATCCTCTGCCTTTCTGCAGGGCCTGGAATGGAGAGGCGTCAACTTAGCAGTGGAGAACAATGTCTACTATCAGTTGACTCAAACGACTTTTTTCTCCAGATCCCATTGATACCGCTCCCGACATGGGTGAGGTACTTGGTAAATGCCCCGTGAAAACGCCTGATTTATAGCTTGAGCTGAAAATAAAGTTTATTCAGTGTGGCTATCCCCTAAGTACCAGAGGCGAACACGTCCAGCCACATCTGCAAAGGGCCGGATGCAAAGTTGGGAGTCAAGGCTATCTCCTGGGGAGGGACCACTGCAGGAAGGAGAAAGCAGCTGTTCTGATAGCGGACTGGAAAAGAGGCACCTGTTGTTCAGTATCCGAGACTGACTGTACTACGACCCTCAATGTGTGACATATCCAGACCCCTCACCCAGCCTGTGAGAGCAATGACCGGCCCACTTCACAGACGAAGCTTGAGGCCCAGAGAGGTGAAGCTGCTCCAAGGGAAAGCCTGACACCGTGAGAGAGCTCAAATGATGTTAGATACTTTCTACAAGCTCTGCAACTTTGGGCCAGTGATTTTGTCCTGTGAGCCTCGGTTTCTTCATCTATGTAATGGGGATGAGAACGTCAGCTTATTCAGGAGATCTAACAACATAGCCTCGTCTGACCCGTAGTAATTGCTCACTAAATGTTAGCGATCTCCGGTATTATTACTGCCAAAACATACTCTGGAACTGTCACCAGGGGCAAGACAAATTTTCCTACGGCACAGAAAAGAAGTTTATTAGGGGGGAATTACCCTGTGCCATTCAGCAGCCTCTTAATGAGATTGGTGTTATTCGAGGCTGATCCCCCTTATCAGCGACACTGTGAACTGCACAGATCATGACGCTTAATTTTTCTCTATGGAGTCAATCCTTTAATCCCGACTCAGCCTGGCTGGGATTCAGGCTGGCTTTGCACTGGATTGCCCGCAAGGCATTCTCTGCCAGCAGTGGACCAGAACAAAGCGGCCCAAAGCTCTCCCTAGAAAACAAGTCAGGAGGCTTGGGAGCCATGGGGCCACCATCCGCCCAGCCTTGATTTGCATTTTAATGGCCTCCACCCAACTGCCTGAGGGATGGGGAAAGCACAGGCACCCAGACTCTTCCCTAATTAGCCTCAGCTGCAGGAAGCCCGCAGGGGGGGCAGGTGGAGGGTCTGCAGGGGGGCAGGTGGAGGGTCCGGGTTCCAGAGGAGGAGGAGTCAGCAGAGCCGGAGTATGGGAGGCTCAGGTCCAAGAGGTGTGCCTGTCACTGGTTCCCACAGGGTCAAGTCTGAACGCCTTCAGCGGGCACACCAGAGCTTGGAGCTCACACGTCTCGGCTGCCAATCTGGCTCAGCTCTGATTTTAATGAGTTCATTAGAAATAAATAACAGCTCCCCGCCACCAAAGAGCACGTGACTGAGCGCCCAGAGGACAGCGCCCACCCAATGACTGCATGCAAGGGACCAGACGGACACAACGAACGAAGAGGGGTCCCGCTCAGAGAACAGAACAGCCCCCCGCCTAAATGAGAGTCTAGCCCTGCGCTACTCTGGGCAGGTCAGGCCTGCCCTAAGAGGGGCATGAGCAATAACAGTCGCCATCACAGACCACCGTTCCTGCATCGCCCAGCGCGTCAGGCACTTTCCTCCCACCACTTCCAATGCCCCCCTGCCCCGCCCCGGGTCCCGAGGAGGCCTCGGAGGGAGGGGCGACAAGGACCGCTAGCTGAACCCCCAGGTTCCCGTTTCTCTTGGCACCGTGTCGGGCTGTCCCTGGACAGTGGCGCTGGGCGTGCTCCCCGCCCCTGGAATGTGGGCACACAGGTCACGTGTCACTTGTGATCCAAAGTGGTGAAGGAGGAAGTGTGTTTCTCTCCCTGCCGCCCAGTCCGGGAGAGGGAGGCTCCGAGGAGCCAACGGGGAGGACGGAGCTTCGGTCACCGGGTTCAGGGCCAGCCAGCCCGGCCACCTGCGTTAGGCTGTGCTGTGACCGCAGAAGTGATTATGTCAAACCACTAGAGAGTTTGGGGTTTATCTGCCATCGCACGGAGCGTCTGCCTGACTGAAATAGAAACTGGACCAGAAGTGGGGTGCTATGAAAAAACCCTAAAAACGGGAGACATGGCTCCAAAGGCAGGACGGTTGAGAGGAGGAGGCTAACAGCACAAGCTTGGAAGGTGGCAGAAGAGCTGATAGAAAGGTCATCCAGGTAGTAAGCCACCAGCCGGCAGGCAGCTCGTCACTGGGGACTTGCCTCAGGCCGACAGGCCCCGGTGTCAGGGTGGGGCCTGGGACACGCGCCAGTTTGAGGACCGCTGCTGTCATGTTTGGGACAGTGTTACAGCGAACGTACCTCTGCTTGGAGATGGGGCTTGGGCCCAGGCTGCCCTGGGAGGATGCCTCACCCCTCCCAGCCCCCGCCTCAGCTCACCGAGATCTCAAACCACACTCCCTTGCCCCCTCGACGTCCTTCCTGGTCAGCTACCACGGGGCCTTCACGCTCAGCACCAAGAGCCACAACCTTCAGGAAGCCTTCTTCAGCTCGTCCCCCTAACGGTGCTCCCACCACCCTCCCCAGCACAGACCTCCCCTGTGCGGCCGCAGGGCTCCCCGAGCACAGGTGCCAGGCCCTGTGCCCATTTCCTGAGAAAGCGTGGCCTCCGCGCAGGCTCCCTTACCTGCATGGGACTGCATGTGCTCCAGCAGATTGTTGTAGAACTGGAACTGGATCCCACAGGCGCCGCAGGTGTACGGTTCTGGGGCGGGAGGGGGAGAAACGAGGCAGCTGTGTTAGGGGCAGAACGACCCCAGATGCCCGGGAGCTGGCTGGGGCTCTGTGCTTGGGGCTCTGGGCCCAGCCTGTCCGCCCCTGTCACTAACTGCTGAGGGAGAAGCTTGGGGGGAGGGAGGAAGACCTGCAGACAAAGAGGCCGTCTAATTCAATCAAGCAGACATTTATTGAGTGCTTACTGTGTGCCAGGCACTGTTCTGGGCACTGGGGAGGGGAAGGGGGCAACACTGACGGAACAGGTGCTCTCCTGGGGCAGGGCCCACATGCTCCGCAGACATCCGCGCCGAGGAAACAGCTACATGAGCGTATGAACGAAACGAAGACCAGCTGAAGAGCACAGGGGACAGTAAGGGAGCGGGCAGTAAGCTAGAGAGGAGGGCAGGAAGTAGAGAAGGCCGTAGAAAGGCGAGAGGACACAGGACCGGTGAGGACCGGTGAGGACCGGTGAGGACAGAGCGGGCGGGACGGGGCCACGTGCGCAGGTGGACCTTCCACCTCTGTGTCCCCAGCACTCAAGCCAGTGCCCGGCACGGGGAAAAGGGGAAGCAAGAGCAAAGAAGGGGGCCAGAGAGGAGTAACGAAGAGACGCAGAGGGCGGCTGAGATGCGCTTGGAGGAGGTGTGTCCGAGGCTGCCCCCGCGAGTAGCAATGGGAAGGCCTGGGTTCCTGCCAGGGCTGGGGAGGGCGGAGGCAGGCCGCCTGTGGGCAGGGCTCTGCCTCGTCCCCTGTCCGGACTCCCCCTCCCACCCGGGGCCAGGCCCTCCTCCTGCCTCGGCTGGCTGCCAGGACTGCCTGGGGTGGGGGCGGGTGGGGGCGGGTGGGGGGGCCCAAGGGCAGGCGCCCTGGGGAGGTCCTGAGCAGGTGGCCGGCTGAGTTCACTCCCTGCCCTGCCTTGCCCTCTCCAGCCCCCCATGGGACCGTCACTTACTCTGTAGGAGAGGGAAAGGATTGGAAATCAGGGGACTTGCAGTTTCTGCAAAAGAGAAACAGTTTAGCTAAGTCTCTTCCCGATCTGGTGTTCTGAGATGATTGTCATTACTTCCATCCTCAGGAAGCAGTGAGCCATCGGGGCTCGAGGAGGAGGAGGATCTGAGAGCCAGGCTCACATTCTGGGCTGGTGCCAGAGCACCAGGCAGGGCAAGGTCAGCCAGGGACATGCCTCCAGGACACCCTCAACTCTCAGAGAGTGAGCCCACAGAGCTCTAATGAGGAAATGTCCATGTGTGGCTGCTGCTTCAGGAGAGGGAGCTGGGGGCTGCTTCTAGATCCTGGCGCCGGACACCAGAGCAGCCTCAGGGAGGGGTTCTGCTCGCTGGCGTTGTCAGGTGAGCTTCAAAGGCAGAAGGCAGCAGGGGAGGACCAGAGGGACCGGGCCCGGGGTCCTGGCCCCATCCCTTACAGGCTGGGGACCTGGGGCCATGACCGACCGCTCCTGGGCCTGTTTCCTCGTCCAGAAAATGGGGCTAACGATAACACTGACAGCCCGCCCCCCGCCCCGGGGCTGTGGTGAGGATGAAAAACAGGTGAGACACGTACAGCTCTGAACACAGGCCAGGCACGCAGTAAGCGCTCAATAAATGGTGGCTGCCAGCACTTCACACCGTCCTCCCCAGTCCCCCAGTCCGAGGGGCAGCTCTGCAGGACCCAGAGGCGGCGGGGGAGACACGGCCTGGCTGCTGAGGCGAAGGCTCCCTGGGAGGGGGTGGTCCCAGTCCTGGCTCGACTGCCTCCTGTGTGGCCTCGGGCAAGTCACCCCATCGCTCTTAGCGCCGCCTCGGGGAGACTGGGTTACACTTCTCAAAAGGGTGAGCCGCTTGGAAAAGCCGCACGCTCTCTACAGTTTCCAGGGCTACGCTGACATCCCCCCCCCCCCCCCGCAGCGCACCTCACTCGCTTCCCCTCGGGGCACTCCACGTTATCACTTGGTTTCCTTAAAACCGCCATCGCCATCATGACAGCCCGCACGGGAGTGTGTCACCTCCACGGGCCTCACTGACTGCCCGCCGTCACAGGGACACGTGCGGGAGCCCCGCTTCCCCAGGCAGGAGAACGCGAGGCTGGCCCCAGCCACCAGCACGGGCGCTGCAGCCGGGGCTCACGCTTCGGCTAGGGACCAAAGCCGGAGCTCAGTGTACTGGGCAGAAGCCTCCACATCTGAGTCCGTGCTCCTGGCTGTGTCACGAGGACCCTGACTGACGGACCCCTGTCTGTGCGGCGGCGGCCAGCACCTCATCTGCTGAGCTCAGCTGCAGCTCACAAGAAAGCGAGGAGGTACCATACCTTACCGTAACCCAAGTATTCAGAACTTCTTCCCATCCTGCCCTGGTTGCCACTGTGCAGACCGGCTTGCTGGGCCTCTTTCAGACAGGCCCCCAGGGCCCAGCTGAGGTCCGACCGGGGAGAGGGGCCTTCGGCGGCCCGGCTTCAAGGTGCGCTAGGACAGCCGCCAGGGGGCGCCAAAACACCACCAGTCACCGCGGCCAACCCGAAGAGGACCTTTGGACGGCCTCTGATCCAAAGTGGGGCCAGAGCTCGGGGTCTCTGGCTCTTACGCTACAGTTCTCTCTACTGCACCCCGTTTGCCTGTCCTGGAAAGAAACTGGCTGCAACGTTTACTCTAAACACCTAGCACGAGCTCTCTTACTCCCCCTCCCTGACCCCCCCCCCCCAGGGCCATCTGAGTCAATGCTGCAGGCTATGGGGACTTCGAGTTCCTCTCTCCACGGGGACTGGGAAGAGACAAGAGCAGCGGTCCCTGAGATGCCCCTGAGGCCCAGACACAGGTCCCTGGAAGAAAACACCCTTCCCATTTCTGCCTGGCCCTGGCCCCCTCCCTAATTCCCTGCCCGCCGTGTCCTCCCAGGAACACCATCATGTACCATGAAGAGCCCAGCCCAGAGCACCTGCCGCTACCACGGGAAGGAGTGCGTGGAGGCCACAGCACAGGATGGTTGTCACAGGGCACACTCACCGCTGGAGTTTTGGGAACTGCTATTTGTCTCCTCAAAGTGGTTTTGTGCTTTGCCTTCTACTCTCCGACTGAAAGCGCTTTCTGCTGGGTGGCGACAGGAGAGAGCAAGAAAACACTGGTGACTGGTTAGCACTACGAGGGCCCAGGGGAAGGGCATGCCACAGTGGACTCTGAGGCCAGGGTACCCCGGAAGTGCCCCGTTCGGGGGCTGGTAGCATCCAGGGCTTTATGCTGGGCAACCTGCACTGCGAAGGGCTCTAGGACCCCAAACCAGACCCCCAGCTCCTCGGGCTCACCTGACTTGCCTGATACCTTGTCAGGGCCCCAAGAGACCCCCCCGCACAGTGCTCAGCGTGGGTGGAGGGCCAGGCACGGGGGCATGCATGTGTGACCTGAATGCCCAGACGAAATCCAGCTGAGTGGGCGGATGGCAAATGGGCCTGGGTCTCCCATCTTTGGCTCCTCAGGAGCCACATTTGTGACACAAAGTCATTTGGACCTGCCACCCACTACTTCCTTGGCCAGAATCTGCCGCCACAGGACCCACCAAGGTGGTGGGAGATTGACAGACTGTTTCCTGCTGGTGGCTCTGGCAGAACAGGAGGGCCAGACAGCGGATTCCAGTGCCACAAGCAAGTGGTCCCTGGGTGGCAGGGAGGGCATCCTGGGAGAGACAGTGTGACAGGCAGAGCCGGGGCAGCCCCACACCCTGGGAGCCCAAAGACCAGCTGAAGTCTGCTCAGAGTTCATCCAGGGGGAAGGGACTGGCTCCTTAAGGGATTCTGGGGCATCTCCACCTGGAGGTGGCACCTTCCTGGCGCTGTCTAGAAACCCTGGAGCGAAGAGATGGGGTCCGACCAGGAGGAAACTGACCGGTTTAGTTCCGACCCCCACCCCCACCTGCAGAAGGTTCTGAGACAGAGTATCGGCGCTTGAAGGCAGCTTTGCTCTTGGCACAATGGGCCTGTGGGCCACTCCAGTAGATAAAGCCTTCTGAGAGCAAGTCCAGTGGGGATGAGCAGCTGACCCAGTCCCTTGTAAGGGCAGACAACTCGCACAAGGACATCAAAGGCTCTGAGAAGCTCAACCCAAAAGAGACCCATTTCGCTTGTGACCCAGCCTTCCCAAATATATTTAGCCACCGAAGCCCATTTTAAAAATTCTTTAGTATCCCTCAAAATTGGTGATTGCCCGGAACCCACTTTGGGAAATGCCACTGTCACCCAGCCCACCCTATGTCAGAAGGGCAAGTGCTCAGACCGTGGGGGCCAGTGTTCCGAACGAGGATGGGGTAACAGGGAAAGAAGCCACAGGTGGCTCCTACAGGCCCTGCTCCAAGCCCAGGCTCCCGACCCCAATGACACCTCCCGACGCCGAGGCTGTTGATAACATCACAAGACCTGCTCTTCAAAATGTGTCTATAAAACGCCTGGGCTGACAGCTACACAGGGGCAACCACAGAGCCCACCTCACGAAGAGCTGAGGGGCTCTCTTTGCCGATTTACAGAGAGCCCCTCAATTCTTCATCTAGGTTGGGGGGGGGGGGGGGGTGGGCTCTCATTTACGGAGCACCTACTATGCGCCAGGCCTGGTCCACACACCTTACACCCATGGTCGCCCCCCAGTCCTCCCGACAGAGCTCTGAGACCCGCACTGTCATCCCCACTCTACAGGCGAAAAGACAGGAAAGTGCGGTTGCCCAGTTCCAGAGCTGGGTGTACTCCTAACCCATCGGATGGCAAAGTAAGGAGAGTTCATTCCTGGGGCAGATGCAGTCTCTTGAGAAAGGTCTGGGGTAGGGAAATGATTCCTTTCTCCATCTTAATCCCTGTGCATTCCTTCAACGCTTACCCGTCTGTGGAGGTGTTCCATGCAGCCTAACCAACATCTCAGTACACAGCATGGAGCTTACAGACCCCTACCATTAGTCTCCCACTGCTCAGCTGACGGTGCACATTCGGAACAGCTCTCCGGGCATTAGCACCTCGGGCCGAAAACCAAGCGGGGGGCGGGGGGGTGCCGTGTGCAGGCAGGGTCGTACCCACGGAGCACGGCCTGCTAGCGGGATGGGGGCAAGGACAACTTCCGGCTCTGACAGGCAGGGCCCTGCTCACCCCCTGCTGTCCTCTGCCCTGTGAGCCCCACAAGCCATCCAGGGCACATGGCGGCAGTCAGAGGCACGTCAACAGCACAGCTCCCTAGATGCGCGGAGGCCCAAGGGCCACCACAGACCACACACAGCCACAAGGTCAAGAGTAAAAGCAAGATGTGAAAGCCAGGATCCCCTTATTTAGTTGAGCCAATATCCACCATCAAAGAGCCCACGATGACCAGTCTGTCTCCAACCAATTTATGACTACTGTTGCAAAAATACAACAGCTGTTGGCTTTTCTCAGCGCGGTACCTGAAAAATCATTACCTTCAAGATTGACCACTTACTCATCTTTTGGAAGACCTAAGCACAATAAACTTATCCTCAGACATTTTTAAGAACCAAATCTCTGGGGCGCCTGGGTGGCTCCGTTGGTTAAGCCTCTCTGCCTTCGGCTCAGGTCATGATCCCGGAGTCCTGGGATCGAGTCCCGCATCGGGCTCCCGGCTCAGTGGGGAGCCTGCCTCTCCCTCTGACCCTCTCCCCTCTCGTGTGGTTTCTCTCTCTCTCTCTCTCAAATAAATAAATCAAAGACTTAAGAAGAAAAAAAAAAAAGAGAACCAAATCTTTGCCCCAAATTAGCCTCCTGAACCACAGAGTAAAGGTAGGCACAACCATCTCATGGCTATGTGGTTGGTCCAATCTACTAGTTCACTTAACTCAGGTCTCAGGTCTGAGTTTGATCGCTTATGTATTTCTCTAATTGGCTTTGGGCCTCCTGAGGGCAAGGAAAGGCCCACGGTCCAAGGACAACACCATCACTCTTTCTTTACCCCACACCCCGGCGGCAGGCAGCCCAAGGCTCAGTCCACCCAGATATGAATGAGGATTCCTGACCGCCGCTACTCAGCATCGGGGGTGTCGTAGGGTGTGTCTCATCAGTTCTCCGGGGCGTGGGGCTGCTGAGTACCTTTCACGGCCTGACACCCTCCTGCAGCCACAGCCCCTTCCTGCACAAACTCAGAACACACTGGAGCTGGCGTCCACCGCTTTCCTGCTGGGCTAGGAGAGGGGCTTCACAGGTAGTACCAGGCAGGGGGAGGCTAAGAGAACAGAGCTCTGCTTCACGGGGAGCAGCTCTTCCTAGACATGTGTTTTTAGATTGGGTTTTTCAGGAAGACGGGGGATGCAAACTCATGCCAAGAAGGTCCAGGCAGGCGATGTAAATGGATGAACGGGACTGGATGCAAGACAGACAACAGCGTGATCACAATGAGACATGACACCTGCCACGTGGCCACTGTGTTGGGGAGGCAGGAGGGAGTGGTGAGGACCACGGAATACCGGGCAGTATGTGCTCTATTCAAGGGGGCCGCCGTGGCTCAGCCCCAAGCCAATGGCTACCTTCCAGGAACGTGGGCCCACCACTGCCAGAGCTGATTTTTCAACGTCAGCAAGAAATCAAACGTCTTACACAAAGTCTCCCGATGCTCAAATGTTGGCAGTTAATTAAAAAAAATTTTTTTAATTCCTTAGGCTATGACTTGGGAAAAAAAACACTCTCCTGCTTAAAAAAAAAAAAAAGTTTGCAAACCATCAAGCACAAACCCTCTGATTTACGGTAAGAAAACCCAGGCTCAGAGAGGCTATGTGGCTCACCACGGTGAGAGCCAGCTAAAAGCACAGTGAGAGGCGCCCAGATGTGTCCCAGGAGCTACGGGACCTCCACTCGCTCTTGCGAGGGAACAGACCCCAGGCACAGCGGTGGCAGGTGGGGGCGGGGTGAGGAGGGGTGAAGTGTGAGCATAACATAGGCCATCGGTACCTGCGGTCGCCTTGCTTGCTGGAGATCCCGAGTTTGGAGTGCGGAACGTCTGGGTTTGGGTGGCTGGAGGGGTGCGGTGTAAGAGGGTGGCGCATCGGACCACGGAGGCCGGAGCCTTTTTCCCCGACTGGTTCGTCTGGGTCTTCGCTGCCACGAAGCGTGGAGACGGGGAGACCTCCGGATGCGAACACTCAGAGCCCGTGTCTGGATCGTCCGGTGGCTCCCACCCGGGGGCAGTACCTGAGAGGGTCACGCTCTCAGTCCCCGTGGGCCCTCGCAGCAGGCCGAGTGAGTGGTCTCTTGGGCCACAGAACCCCATGCTCAATGGTCAAAACCCCTTCTCGGTCCTTAGAGAGCAAAGGCTCTCGCTCTCACCCAGAGCCTAAGAAAGTCCAGGATTCTAGAACCTTCCCCAGCTTCTCCTCGAGGGAAGCCTGATCGTCAAACCAACACTCAAGAGTTTCCCAGATGCCACTGACCAGCTCACTGGGAGGATCACCCATAACCCTCAACCAGCCCAGGCTCTGGGTGTCTAAGAATGCAGCCTATGACCTGTACTTGGGGCACCTGAATTGTCAACCCAGGCCCAAGAGCATTTTCTAGAACATTGGCTCTGAAGTCTCTTTTCCTTCCAAGGCAGGCTGGCTCAAAAGCAATGACAGAAAGCAGAGAGACAGGGACATGCCAGGGTTGACTGGTGGCGGTGGGGAAAAGCAGAGGGGCTCCATGTAGCCCCGGGGTTTTAGGGGAAGGGGCACTGATGGACTTGCCGCTCTTGGGGACAGCACTTAAAGTCTACACGCTGCTTGCACCAAAGTCAGTGCAGCAGTTCCCCGGTGGTGTCTGGGGAAGTCTGGGTCACCATTTCCCAGACCCCCTGCCTCGTTCCCCTGAATCCTCTGCAGAAGCTGGAGTTGCTGAGAACTAGGGGCTGACCCCAAGGTGGTCTTCACCTCTGGCGGTCCCAGGCGGGCAGCAGTCCAGCTCCTTCATGCCGCCCGGGGCCCTAAACCAATAGTGGGGGCCAACCCCTGAACCTGGCCACACTCCCACGTTCAACAAAGACCGGGCGGGGGGGCAGTGGTCTTCTGGCTCAACTGCAACTCTCCCCCCGAACGCAAGAAGGGGACCAGGCAGCATGGGAAGGGGCCCCTTCGGTGCTGCTGCCCCCCTGCCTCTGGGGGTGGAAGAGGGGCCTCACTATACCCTAGTCCCAGGACAGTGTCCATCCTCAGCATCAGACACTCCACCCACTGCTTTCAGGGCCAAAAAATAAAAAGGCACTTCCGGACCCTCCACCTCGGGCCATTCCTGGCACCAAGGAAGAAGCCCAGGCCTAGAAAAGTGGGAAGCAGGGCTTTGCCCAAGGTCACATAGGAGAACACACTCTTCGGTGCTTTGTTCACCAGCCTGAGACACTGAGATGAGCTCAGAGGACTCGGCTGCCCTCCTGTCCTCTTGGAGGGTACCCCCTTCCTCCATTCACAGTGGTGGCCAGACGCCAGGAGCTAGGGCACGCTCCCGTCACAGCCCCCTTAAGCAAGCCCTCACCCGCCCCACCCCAGCCCCAGGAGGAGTCCCCAAGGCTGCCATCCGCAGAGGATATGGGTGGCCCTCATGTTTCAACTCCCATTCTCTGGATCCTGGCTTTCTTAATCAGATAGAGAGGTTTGGCTGGGGAAGGACACAGCCCTATGTTCCCTATCTCTCTCTCTCTCCCTTTTGGAGCCAAGTACCTTGGAGGTCCCTGGAGGCCAATCAAAAGGGTGGCTTGTCTCACAATTTCCAAATGTTTTTAGACAAAGAACAACCTACACATCAAAGTCCATGGAATGTGTCCAGAGTTCTATCTCTGAGCTCCCCACTACCTCCCTAAAGCACAGTTTGGGGACCGAGTGTGGAGCAAGATGGACCCACCTCAGGATGCCAGGTCCCTCCCCTTCGGTCTCTGTGGTCGTAGCCTCTTATTAACTTCCCTCTCTCTTAACCTCGGCTCCCCCCACCCACGCCCCTTTTATTCACCAAGAAAAATGGTGCGACCAGCCTCTCACGGGGATTCTGTGAGAACCCAAGAACACACAAGACCCCAGGGTACATGGCTCTTCACATGGAAGAAGCTATTACTGGTATTTTTGACGGATAAGGAAACTGAGGGCCAGAACGTTTAGTCAGTTTAAGGGCCACACAAAAGTCCGTGTCAGGATAAGACAGGAGTCAAGCTTGTCAGCTACCGGAGGGGGCCTCTGCACAAGGACATGTGGTCTCCTTTGGCCTCAACCCACACATCCCAGGAACCTGGGCACAAGGGACAGAGAATTTCTGAGCAATACACTGAGCACGTGGCTTTCATTCCTAAGCCCCAGTCTCTGCCCTGAAGGATGGTTTCTAGAAGACCCTCCGGATCAGTTCTTCCCAAGGTCTACAATCCCTGATGTCAAAATCCCGGCCCCCTCCTCCCCTGTGGCAGGGAGCTCAGGGACACCCAGGAAGCACATGATGTAAGAAATCTTTAGGAACCTGGCCTGGGACTGGCTCGTCTCTGGCCTTTCCCATTCTCTAATACCCTCTCTCTCTTCCAAGCCTTGTGGCCTGGCCTTTGTACATGTTATTTCTTCTGCTGGAACGATCTTCCCTCCAGCTTTTGCCTGGGTAACTCGTGCTGGTCCGACACACCTCCACTTAAGCATCGCTTCCTCTGGTACCCCTCCCCGACACCTCACCTGGTCATGTGTCTTCCAGTCTTTCCGTCCCCTCCCCTCGCCCCTTCCAAGAACTGATCACCACCCATACTGATACACGGTGTTATCTTTTGATTGGGATCTCTTTTCCCCAATAGCCTGAATGCTCTGTGAGGGCAGACTCTGCCAGCTAGGCCCAATCACGCACTCAGGACCTGGCACATTCCCTGACACACAGAAGTGCTCAAGAGGTGTTGTGGAATCAGAGAATCAACGCGTGAATGGCCAGAGAAGCAAAACTCAGAACCACTTAAGCAGAGCACACATCAAAGACAGGATGTCGGAGAGGAGACATGCGAAGCTATCTCCTGTGTCACCCTCCCATCAGCCCCAGAGGTCTATGTAAGGCAGAGGGGTACTCAGAGCTCAGAGAGGTACAGGAACCACTCCAGGGTCACAGAGCAGATAGGGACGGAGCAGGATGAACTTCCCAGACTCAACAGTCTGCTCCATCTGTGTACCTTCTCACATGTAATGTTATCAGGCTGGAATTCCTACCCAAGTTCTCGCCAGGAAAAGAAGAGCGAGCTTCAGACTGACTGGCTGACTGCCCTTATAAAGAACACACATGAGATGTTTACATCTAAGAGATACTTTAAAATAAGAAGAGTACTGAGGTCTCTCCTGTCTGTAAAGCTGAATATTCAACAAGAGCAAAAAAAATATGCAGAGAATGTAAGGATTTGAGAAAAGTAACCATGGGGTTACCGAGAGCGTACAGAGACCGGGGGGGGCTCCCTGAAACCACGAGGACGGTGAAGATGCATTCGAGGCAAATGGGAAGAGCGTGCGCAAAGGCTGGGGGTGGGAATGCGCGGGAGCTGTGGCGCAAGGAGTCTCATTTGGGAATGCCTCCTCGTGGAATTTCATCGTAGGAAGAGAACTGGAGACCTTACTCCTCTGGCCATCATGGAGTCCCCGGTGCAGGAGTAAGCCCTCCCCCAGATTCAACTGTGAAGCTGGACAAAACACACGAAACAACAGTTTTCAGACTTTGAACAGGAGGCAGCGCAGGGCTGTGATTCACAAGGGAAGACCTGATGTGAGATCACTCCAGTCTCTGCCTGGACACCTTCTGGACCACGGCACGGGGGGTGGAACCCAAAGGCGGCACTGCAGTCTGGCTGAATGGAGGAGACAATGGTCAGAGTTCAAGGCTTCTGAGGTGGTTAGAATTGGCAGGGCAGAATAACGAAGAGAGGGGAATTTTGAAGGAAAAAAAAAAAAAACAGAACTCCAGAAATGTGCAGAGGGACCCCCTTAAAGTATATGGCTGGATGCCAAACTGATTGTACAAAAGGAACCTCTGAAAAGTCTGGCAGGTAACCGCTGCTGGGGGCTGCGAGCCGAGAAGTCTCACAAGATGAGATGTCTGAGTTCCCATCTGCCACAGAAGACAGACCTCGTTGAACACCTCGAGCGTTTAGTTTGGGACCCAGAAAGGCCAGGCCTTAGAAGGATTACTCTAATGCAAGAATAAGAACAACTGGAGACCCACCCTAACAGTTTAAAAACAAACCTTTGAGGTATGAAGCCGATCTGTAAGTAAAGTAACTGTCTGCCATAACAAAATCCAACACTTTTCAAAGGAAGATAAAATTCAGATGCTCAACAAAACACTGCAATGTGCAGCACAGAATAAAAAAATTACTTGTGAGGTGAAGCAAGAAAATGTGACTAATAATCAAGAGAAAAATATCAGTCAACAGTAACATACAGAAATGACAGGGATGACGGAATCTGCTGACAAGGACCTTAAAACAGCTTTCACAGAGGGCGCCTGGGTGGCTCAGTCGTTAAGCGTCTGCCTTCGGCTCAGGTCATGATCCCAGGGTCCTGGGATCGAGTCCCACATCGGGCTCCCTGCTCTGCGGGAAGCCTGCTTCTCCCTCTCCCACTCCCCCTGCTTGTGTTCCTGCTCTCGCTGTCTCTCTCTCTGTCAAATAAATGAATAAAATCTTTAAAAAAAAAAAAAAAACCAGCTTTCACAGATATGCTCAAAGATGTAAAGGATAATATGAACACAATGAAAAAAGAAATGCTATAAAAGGGAACCAAATGGAAATTACAGAGATGAAAAATAGGGTAGCTGAAAAGAAAAATTCACTTGATGGATTTTTCTAATAAAACAGATTGCATACTAGAGAAGAAAAGAACAGCAAACTTAAAGACGCGGTACCAGAAACTATCCAAATTGAAGCTCAAAGGGAAAACAGGGCTGATAAACTAAATGGAGCTTCATCACCAAATGGTTTAACACATATGTAAAGTCTCAACAGAAGAAAGATTGGGTAATAAGAATATTTGCAGAAATACTGGCTGAAATTTTCCAAATCTGATGAAAAATATAAACCCACTGAACCAAGAAACTCAATGAACCCCAAACAGAATAAACACAAAGAAAACTATACACCAAAATCAAACTGCTAAAAAAACAGTAACACAGAGATATATTTAAAATCACCCAGACAAAAAAGACACATTGAATAAAGAAGAACAATC